CAACTTGTTGATGAACGATGTGACCTACCTTTTGGACGATACCCTGGGACAACTCCAAGAGGTCCATCGGATCGAAAGTCTGATGGCCGATCAGGAGGCTTGGCAAAGCCTCCCAGAAGCGGAACGGAAGGAAGAAGAAGGCAAGTTGTTGTCGTGCGAGCGACATTGTCCGAGCTTCCTGAGTCTCGCAAACGAAAATGTGAGAATGCTCAAGATTTTCACGGAGGAGACGCCGAATGCTTTCTTGAAATCGGAGATCGTCGTTCGATTGGCCGCCATGTTGGACTACAATCTCAATACATTAGCCGGCCCCAAATGTCAAACGCTGAAAGTCAAAGACCCTAAGAAATATAACTTCCAACCTAAGGACTTATTATCTGATTTATTACAAGTCTATTTGAATTTATGGGACCGAGGACCGTTTCATGAAGCTGTCGCAAACGATGGAAGAAGTTACACCAAAGAATTATTCGAAAGGGCTGATCGGATCGCGAGGAAGGCTAACTTGAAATCGTCTGATGATCTTGAGAAGTTGGCCAAGTTGGTTGAAAAGGTTGAAGAGTTGAGACAGTTGGAAGCAGATGAAGAGTTGGAGTTGGGCGAAATTCCCGATGAATTTTTAGGTTGGTTGCTCATACCTGTTGCTTCGGGGATCTGATTTGATTTGGTTTTAACTGAACTTTTTGGTTTTTGTGATGAACCTTTCTAGATCCTTTGATGGCAACCTTGATGAAAGAACCAGTGATTTTACCCACTTCCAAAACGACGGTCGATTTGTCAACCATCAAACAACATTTCCTGAGCGATGCTACTGATCCTTTCAATCGAATGCCGTTGAAGATTGAAGATGTTATTCCTGGTTTGTCTTCCCTTTCTACTGATCCAACCTTTTTTTCTGCTACCTCATCCCTTAAAATCTGTTCATCCCGTTCATTCATTGGCTCTTTCTTGTTCCAGATGTATCTCTCAAAGAGAAAATCGACGCTTGGGTCAAAGACAAGAAAAGCTCTAAAATGGAATTCTAAATCCTTCCTGACTGTATATCTATATATCGTTCATTTTTTTTCTTTGACATGTTATGAGTAGAGATTTGATGTAGGTAGAAAGATCACGTTGATTGCTAGTTATTAAACGATCGTTTTTTCCTCAAAGGTTGAGTTGATCAAACAAAATCATGTGTTCCTGGGGGGAAAGGGGATGGTAAAAAGCCCGTGTTTATAGGTTTACAATGTTTGATAGACGGTTGTGAGATGAGAATATGGTTGTGATGTCATGTGCCTGCGCTGCGTACTGCTACATAAGGCGAATGGGAGCGTGGGTAAACATGAAGTCCGAATTAGTATATCGGCTAGTATGACCGCCTCTCATGCGATGGTCGCGGTAGAGACGGGTTCGACTCCCGTATTCGGAATTCCTCTTTTAGCCTGATAGGCTATGTTTTGCTGGCCCAAAGGACAATCTTTTTCTCTTGTCCTGAGTCAACTGATGTGCAAGTTCCCATTGTGAACTGCCCTATTGGTGACCCAAGGCTGTACTTTGGACACACATGCATAACATGAAACAGCATGAAACTATTCTCATCTATCAGAAACAAGCATACCTCTCATGTATGTTTTTGAAAAAATTCATGTGCAAGTTTGCTAAAATTTGAAAGTTCCCAAGATGAACTGGGCAATTGGAGGACTTTTTGTGATCATCTAAAACTGCAAATTTAGAAGGAAGGGCTAAAGCTTATTTGGCTGGTGAAAATTGTTTGACCTCAAGATTTCCCCAGCAAACAAAGTTTAGCTGGTCTGTCTAAAATTAGCCATGTGGTCGACATGAAGTCCTTTGACACCTTTGGTGAAAATTGGTTGATTCACAAACTAGACTTGTATAACAATGTTTAAGCAATGTACAGCTAATTCCAAAAAGCCAGTGGTTTTGGGACCACTGTGTTTCCAAAGAATTCTTTTAGCACCTCATAGCCTGTACACTTGGCCGCACAACTGCTGATTTGGCTGCCACTTGGGCTCAGGACACCTGGTGGCTAGCAGAGGGGGGGCAGAGCCTCCATGTGATGAGCGCTTCCTACTCCAAACGCGATAAGGTTTCGTGGAGTCGACTGATATAAGCTGAGTCTCAAAGCTCAGGTAGATATCAGGCATGGCCACCGATACATTTGTCCCATGTTCAGATAAATCGGTGGGAACGACCGATATAAAATCGGTCAATCAGTCCGATCTTATATCGGTCGCCTCCGGGCAACCTTATTGCGGGGGGTTGTAACTGATACAACCCCTTTTGCCGTGCTGAAATGTCTTGATCGGATGTGAATGGCATGATATTGCCCTATGCAAACATGGCTATAATGCCAGTTGATTCTCATGATTCATCTCCAATCAAGCTTTAGAATACACCATTATATTGATCACTTATATTTAACCTATGCAATACATCTAGATACAAGTCACCTCAAGCCGTGGCGTTCAAAGTGAAATATGTAGACATTTATGCATGCATATCAATCAATTTTCCCAGGGAATCTTGACGATTGGATTAGATTACATACTCAGATTGTCACCATTCCCTGCAAACAATTGAAGGTGTTCAAAGTTAAAAATGCAAACATTTATGCATGCATAGTTCATAAAATATTTGCAGGGAATCTTGACAATCTGATTGTCAAGATTCCCTGCAAAAATTGATCAAATATGCATGCATAAATGTCTGCATATTGAACTTTGAACACCATAAATTGATGAGTGATGCATGGATAAATGTTTGCATCTTTAACTTTGAACACCTTAAGTGATGGTTCTCTCAATCAAACCATGTCACTTTGAGTGCCTTCTGATTCCACCAGGAATGGACTGCTGTCCTATGCTCCACAATTTTCCAAAAAAACAAATGGCTGAGGATAAGAGGATGTTAATTTTGGAGTGCAAACATGGAGGTGTTGATAGCCCCTTAGTGCACATTTAAGCATCAACCAATCCTTCACCATTCTCAAGAGGATTGTGTCAGGCTGGCTTGATTGAAGACTGATTTGAGAGCCAGTCTGGCCAAGCTGTGCCACACTAGAGAATGCCTCACAATCAATCATCCTGGTCTAATGCAACTGCCCCAAGTTCAAACCCACCCTCAAACCCAACAGGCTCCAGCTCTCTCTAGCCCTCTCTCTCCCTGGGTTGACCCCCCAACCCATTTATATTTCCGACTTGACTCATCAAGTACTTTTGCAACTGGTCTTCACCCTCCCCTCCTCCCTCAGCTTTACTACTATACATAGCACTGGCGCTGTCCAGATACTTCTTCTCAGTAGATCCAACCCAGAATTGCAAGTATTCAAAAACCAGAAAGATTTATTTTAAAGAAGGACAATTCAAACATAATCAACCATGAGAGAATTTACTGTGAGTGTGTGTACCATATATATAAATATATATGTTTGGTTGATGGATAAATGTGATCTTGCACAAAGGTGATTGGGATCCATTTCTGGACCATCCACCTAATAACAGAGGCTCTTGACAGTACACCTTGGGCCACTGTCTCCACCAACCCATCATCCAGGTATGTTTGCACCCCAAAGACTCTGTGGGGAAGGAAGTCTATGATGAGCGGGTAGCTTTGGCGGCTCATGATCAAAGCTTGCGTGAGCAATCCATGGGAAGTGATCATAAAAACAAAACAAAAAAGAAGAAGTCAACATGAGTCATCCTGCTTGAAAACCTCTGCAAATCAGGTGCATGAGAACCCTGATCTGCCCATATCCATCTACTTCTGAGAGACAGGTATTGGGGGAAATGGAGCAATGGAGTTAGACATGTAGTGTGCATTGTGTACTGAGTTGGATCCTACCCCCATCACATCCACTGAAGCATTCATGAGTCTTGACATGAAGTAGAGAGCTGAATGGAACTGGACAGAAATTGAATTGCAGAGGAACTGGAAGGTAGGAGAGGTGAAGGAGTGGGGCCGACCAGAAGCTCACAACATGGATTGGCAGGGGCACCCAACTCCTCCTCCTCCTCATCTTTACTACTAGTCTTCTTGCACCAACAGTGACCTACACAATAGGCCAAGTCCCATCGGATAGAGCTTGCAGGCTATATTGGTATGGATAATTATGAAAGACTTATGTGTTCAGATATATGGATAAGAGGGGAGATGGGAGATGAGAAAATCGATGGAATTCATATTTGAAACTTGGAGCACAACATCTTCTTCGTCTTCAGATCAACATCCGAGAGAGAGAGACACACACACACAGAGAGAGACAGAAAGAAAGAAAGAAAAGAGACGGGGGGAGGGGGGATCAAAGATGAAGGGGAGGAAAGGAGAGAGGAAGCACAGAGACTGAAGCGGGACAAAAAGCCGGCATCCGATTACCCCACACACCCTACAACACGGCTACATATATACTCATGCTTCTCCATCACTGTCACACTACACACCCTCGCCTACCACCACCACTTAATTCTGCTCCACGTCCTAGTACTTCGACTATGACTACGACGACGACGATGACGATGACTACTACTACTACAGAAAAGAATTTTAAAAGGCCAGGCCAAACAAGTACAAGAAAGGGAAAAAAAAGTATACACTACTGAGTCAGATATATATATATATATTTATATATCAAGCCATCCCGACCCCGCATACTCGCCGCTTCTTTAGAGCTGATCTTGCCCGATCACGACGTGTGCAAATTTCGTGGCTGTGTTCGTTTTAAGGTTGAAGAAGAAAGGAAATGGATTGGAGGGATGGGAAGCATGAAAGTCTCGTTTGATTTTTTTTGGAGTGGCTTTGAACGTGAGTGTGAGTATGAGTATGTTTATGTTATATAAGTCTTTAGAAGATGGGGTGGACTGTCCATGTACACTAACAGTAACCGTGAGGGTTTTTTTTTTTTTTTTTTGGAAGGGAAGGGAGAAGCCTAGACAACTAAAGAGGAGGGGGGACGAGGAATAGATGGGAATCGAACAGGATGGTTATATATTGTAGGATGAAGTTCAAACCTTAGAAGGAGCTCTGCGATATCGATTAGTGGGAGGGTTAGGGATCGGATTAGAAGGGTCAGAGGAGGAGGCGGTCGAGTTCACGGATTGTCTTTTATTAGCAGCGATATTAGTTGAAGAGGCGGAAGAGGTGATTTCGAACTGGGAGCGCAAGCTACCGACGGACGGTGCGCCTTTGATATGGGAGGGGCCGATGGGGGCCGGTGGACCCGGTGGAGGGGAGCCGGAGGGATGAGCGAGTTTTCCGGCGGGGGTGCGGCCTTTAGGGCTACCGATGAGGCCGCGTTTGCGGTTGAGAGCCGCGCCTCCAGGCGAGACTTTCTCGTGCGAGCTGAGCCTGGTGAGGTTGGCCTTAGCAGCCAGCGGGATGTCTTGCTCATCAATCTCAGAACTCGAAGCCCCGCCTCCTCCATAGGCCGAGATGATCTCATTGGCCGTCGTAGGCGGGACGAAAGGGCATGTCGACTGGCTCATCGCCGGTTCGGGGTCGGCGGGACAAACGGCGCATCACGTGTCTCGTCATCGGATCCTTCTACCGGTTGACTGACCAACGTCTCCTCGGTCATCGGATGCTCTTGACTAGATGAAGTTTCGTCTGCAGAAGGGATGATAGTGACTTGGGCTGATGGTGGTGATACCGTTTCAGTGGTCACGACGGGCAGCGGCTCGTCTGGAAGCGTTTTCTCTTCTTCCATCGACGGTTCAGGCTTAGTAATCTCTTGCGGTAAATCATCCTCCATGCTACTCTTCTTACTGGTCTTGGTCTCGACAGGCGAGTTTTCTGCTGTCGCTGGCACGGATCTCACGATCACTGATTGTGGTGATGTCGGACTTGCGACAGTCTCCGACTTGGAGGTATTGGTCGACGACTCAACC